AGATGTCCTATAGTTATTGTATGTCATGCCATGTGTAACTGTAGAACACACAATCTCAATGTGTACATCTTTATGACTGTCCTTGCAAAGTGATCCTTAAGACAAACTTTTAAACCAGTTAATTTACTCTGAAAGAAAGAAACTATAGGTTCCATTATAAAGTTACCTGCTGTTTTGCTTTCATTATTCTTGCTACACAAATTTTATTTTTATTAAATGGTTTAGGTAACCTAAGAACAAATATACAAGTAAAAATGGTGTAAGAATGAATTGGTTTGGCCAAGATGACAAAACAAGAAAATGATAAATGTTGGAGAAGATGTGGGAAAATTGGAACACTAATGCATTGTTATTGGAGTTGTGAAATGATCCAACCATTTTGGAGAGCAATTTGGAACTATGCCTAAAGGGCTATAAAAATGTGCATACCCTTTGACCCAGCAATAGCACTTCTAGGGCTGTATCCCAAAAGAGATCAAACAAATGGGAAAAGGACCCACGTGTACAAAAATATTCATAGCAGCTCTTTTTGTGGTGGCAAAGAAATGAAAATCGAGAGGATGCCCATCAATTGGGGAATGGCTGAACAAGTTGTGGTATATGAATGTAATGGAATACTATTGTGCTATAAGAAATGATGAACAGGCTGACTTCAGAAAAACCTGGAAAGACTTGTATGGTCTGATGTCGAGTGAAATGAGCAGAACCAAGAGAACGTTGTGCACAATAACAGCCATGTTGTACGATGACTAATATCGATAAACTTAACCCTTCCCAGCAATACAAGGATCTAAGACATCTCCAAAGGCCTTGTGATGGAAAATGCTATCTGCATCCAAGGAAAAAACTATGGAGTTGGAATGCAGACTGAAGCATACTATTTGCTATTTTTTTTCTTCTGTTGAGTTTTGTTTCCTCTTTCTGATGGTTCCTCCTATTTGGTTCTAATTTTTCCTTACCACATCACTAAAATGTGAAAATATATTTAATAGGAATGTATATGTATAGCCTATATGAGATTGCACACTGTCTTGGGGAGGGTGGTGGGAAGAAAGGGGGGGAAAAATTTTAAACTAAAAAGCATATGGAAGTGATTGTTGATAAATCAAAATAAATTAATTTAAAAAAATAGAAAAAAAGAATGAATTGGTTGATAAGCTTATCACTATACTAAAGACAGTAGTAAAACAAAAAAAAACCCTTTTACATTTACATTTCTAAAAATTTTATGCTTTTATGATTTTTTTACTTGCCCGCTATAAAACAGTTAACAGAAAAATAATTTGGCTTATTTAATGTCTTATGAAATTCTCATGAATAATTCAAGAATAATGAATCTTCAAAGAATAACCTGCTTATACACAGTAAATTGAATAGTGAAGGAAATTGGCATGAACCAAGGCTTCTTTTTGCTACTACTGAAGTAGATGCTCAAATGTATTTAGATGGAAATTGTAAAACTGGAGAATCCCGCTTTGCTAATAAATTTTTTTTTATCAAAAACTTTCAGAATCAACATCAGAACAAGTACTATCTGGATAACAGCCACGTTGTTAGCCTATTAAAAAGTCATCTTATCTCTCAATATTAGTGTCTCCAGTGTCACGTTAATCATTATTATAAACTGGTAAGGCAGAATTTTTAAAAAATGTAACATGAAAGGAAGTCAAAATGTGAAAAGCCATTCAGAGAAAGAACTATGGAGTCTGAATGTGGATTGAAGCGCACTATTTTCACTTTCTTTGTTGTTTTTTGTTCTCTTCCTCAAGGTTTTCCCCTCTTATTCTGATTCTTCTTTCACAATATAACTAATGTGGAAATATGTTCAACATGATTGTACACATATCATCTGTATCAGATTGCTTGATGTCTTAGGAAGGGTGGAAGGCAGAAAAATTTGGAACTCAAAATCTTACAAAAATAAATGATGAAAACTATCTTTACATGTTATGGGGAAAAAAATATTACTATCAAGTTTAAAAAAAAAAGGTATCAGTTAAAATTGTACCTTGAAGCAACATCACAGCAACTGGATGAAAAAGAAAAGTAGGGGCAGCTAGGTGGTGCAGTGGATAGAGTACAGGCCCTGGAGTCAGGAGGACCTGAGTTCAATTCCAGCCTCAGACCAAACACTTGACTCTTACTAGCTGTGTGACCGTGGGCAAGTCACTTAACCCCAACTGCCTAAAATTAAAAAAAAAAAAGGGGGGGGAAGGATCAAGGATTTTACTTTTATTCCTTCATAGTGGGAATTATATTTGTACAGTCTATTTTTGCACATGCCACTCTCTTCTTAATCCCTTCAACATGAGTACTTCAATAGTGGGATTAAAATTTAATAAAACATACACAAACAAGAATTTCAAGCAGTTTATTTGTAAAGCAACTTAAGTTTCCAGGGCTCAAACAGTTGCAGACCAGAATATTCCAGGACCTGAACTATCTGAAGAAGCAGCTTAGAATAGTGAACAGAGCGCTGGTTATGCAGCCACAGAGGTCATCTAGTCTCAGCATTTACTACATGTATTTTGTATTATATTTAATATTTAACATAATATATAAAATATAATATGTAACAACCACTATAATATAATTTAGTATAATTTTATTATATTTAATTGTATTTCATTTTCCATGCATGCATTGTTAAAATCTCCTACAAAATATAACCTCTCTGAGGGTAGAAACTGTTTGTTTTTGTATCTCCACACATAATATTCCTTAATAAAGAACTGAATTGTGGCAGCTAGGTGGCGCAGTAGATACAGCACCAGCCCCAAGGTCAGGAGGACCTGAGTTCAAATCTGACCTCAGACCAAACACTTGACACTTACTAGCTGTATGACCCTGGGCAAATCACTTAACCCCAATTGCTCAATTAAAAAAAAAACTGAATTGTAAAACTGTTGAGGGCTGGCACTGTGACCTTTTTGTTATCACCCCATAGTGCCTGCCTTATTATTGCATATGTTAGATATGGTTAATAAATTAACTAATTACAAAAATATCTATTCAATAGTATATGTTTTAAGGTACAGAAAATTAGAACTCAAAGTCAGAGCCCGTAACTTTTTACATATAGAAAAAAAGCAGACAGATTAAATGATTTGCCCAAGGCCACAAAGTGACCACGGAGTGGAAGGCGGGAGGATCTCAACCCAAGTCTTTTCTAATTCTCTAAATCCTGTGTTCTCTCCACTGTAATCACATTATTTCCTGTGCCTTAGAAACACAGGTATAACATGATGCCTAATGTCTTGAGATGATTTAAAAATATTATTTCAACATACTATCAGAAAATTAAGTAGGGCAAGACTGCAGTAGGACACCTTTGAGAACAAAAACAGAGAAATGATACTCTCTTCTTTTGAGGTTTTTTCTCTCCTGGTTTAACTGATTGCTCCTTCTCTGTGTCCTTTGCTGGATCCTCATTGAGATGATGTTCTTCAAGGTTCTTTCCTGGCCCCTTTTCTCTTCTCCAGAGATACTACTTATCTTGATCTTATCAGCTCCCAGGTATTAAATTACCATCTTTAAGCTCATGATTTCCAAAATCTACCTATTTGCAAATTGTGCCCCAATCTCTTGCTGATCTACTTATCTACCATCTCCAACTGCCTTTCAAACATCTCAAACTGGATGTCCAGTAGATACCTTAAACTCAGTATTCCCAAAGTGGAACTCATCATCTTTCCCCCAAAACTAAGCCCTGTTCCCACCATCTCTTATTTGTAGAGGGCAACACTATCCTCCCACTCCCTGAGGCTCACAAACTTAGCAGTCATCTGGACTCCCACAGCCCTGCCCACAACAACCCAAAATCTTGTCAAGGCCTGCCAATTTTACCTTCACAACATCTTTCGAATATGCCCCTTTCTCTCTAACAGTGCCACTACTGCAGGCCCTCATCAACTTGTGCCTGGACTATTGCAAAATCCTGCTCTTAGGATGCCTGCCTCAAGTCCCTCCCCAATCCAATTCAGCCTTTAAATGACTTCTTAAAGGGCAGGTCCAACCATATCATACTCCTAACTCAATATATTTACTCCAGTGGCAACCTGAAGGATCAAACACAAAATGCTGTTTGGCATTCAGAGCTCTTCATAATCTAGCCACCTCCTACCTTTCCACTCTTCTTACACAGCTCCACCAACAGTGGATGCTCATTTTCCACAGCCTTTCCAACATCTGTCATTCTTCTTTTTTGTCATTTTTGCCAATAAGGTAAGTATGAAGTAGAACCTCAGTTACTTAACTTTCCATTTCTCCCCTCCCAATTCTCCTGAACTATGTCCCAAAGAGATCAAAGAAAGAAGAAAATGAGGCAAATGTAAAAAAGATGTTTGCAGAAGCTCTTTGTGGCAAAGAACTTGAAATTCAGGATGTATCCATGAAAGAATACCTTTTAAAAATTATAGAAATGAACATAATTGAAAGGAATAATTTCAAAGAAACCTACAAAGATGTATGAACTGATTCAGTAAAGTGAGTAGAAGCTAGAGGGCAATTTATATAATACTATTATAAACAAAATTTACTTTGAATAACACTGATCAATACAATAACCAACCATGATTCTGAAAGGGAGATGATAAAGCCTAATGCAGACAAAGAAGTGATAGAATCAAGATAAAGAAGAGACAGAAATTTTTTTATGTGACTAATGTGGAAATTTGTTCTGTTTAAATGTGAATGATTAAAACTTAGTTTTAAGTATGCAATTTTGTAACAGGGTTTGATTTATCTTTTTATTTTCCCAATGGGGGAAGAGACTACCAAAGAAGTAAGAGTCAAAAAACATAAATGTCTGTTAATTGAGGGTAAAAATGAAAATATAACTTGCATTAAAAGGGAAAGTACTGAGTACACTACAGCCTTGCATGTAGAGTTGTTACTTTGGCAAAATGAATTGTCAATTTTTTTGGCTGTTTACATAGAGATAGCTGGAAGTAACCCTATACTTGTTTCCTTCCTGGAATAGTTACACAATAACAACATACCTTTGGATTTTTGCCCTCTTTGGCCAATAATGCACGAAGCCTTTCTTGTGAAGGGGGTGCAATGAAGATAATATATGGCTTCAAGTCTGAATTCCGGAGGCTCTTCAGTGACTACAACAGGAAAAAAAAAACAGCGTGTATACAGATATGCACACACACATACATTTATGTATTTAAATATATACATAACAAAACTTTTTTTCGCCATTCTTTACTCTTTTCCCAATTGTATCCTTCAAATACAGCTCTCAAACAGATTTTTTTGTGAACAGCTTTGAAGTAGAGGTTTTTTCATTGTACTAAAAATCCCTAATATTCAATGTCCAAAATGGGGGGGAAGGGAAGGGGGAAGGGTGAGTGGGAGGAAAATACCCACTCACTAGATAAGGTACTATTCTATTGAAATACTGAAATGAAATCAATGATATGAGATAATGCCTCACAAAAATCTGGGCAAGATGCTAACATCTTTGTAATTACAACATACACAATTTAACTAAACCATCATTAAAACCCATTTTTGCTAGATTCTGTACATAAAAATTGTTTTACTAGTCTTCATGTACTCGACATAGTAAAATACCTAAAGGAAAACTGAAAACTAAATGCTAAAAAGGCAGAGGAAACTCTAGAAAATCAACTCTGATAGAAAGCACAGTGTATTCTTAATTAAAAGATTTAGATCTTAATTCTGGCTTTGTCATTAATTATGTAAAATTAACCTAAATGTGTCGATTTTTTCACTATGAAAATGAGGACATCATGTGGCCTTTTTTTTACCTCAAAAGGTTATTATAAAGATAACTGAGACACAATGAGGCATTCTGAGTTCTTTCAAGGCTTCTGGGTCCAAAGAGTAGTATAAAATGCCTAAGTTAAGTCTAAGGCAAAATGTTTAAGCAGAGATACAAAAATAACACTTGCCTTTGATTCAGTGAGCATATACAGTCAAGAGGCCAAACAAAGATTCCATAAATTTATACATGCATGTATATATATATACACACACACACACATATATATATATACACACACATACATACACAGATACATAAAGATATAAACACACACACACATATATACATATATATATAAATATATAAAACACACTCTTTTTATCAGCACTTCAGTGACAACCAAAAAAAAATTAAAAAAACGTGTACTCAAACTGGAAAATATGTAAACAAACTAGTATACGACTAGAATGGAACTTAAGTGCATAATAAGAAATGAATTCAGATAAACATGGAAGACTTGCATAAATCAATAGAGTGAATTAAAAACAATAAATAAATTCAATTACAAAAATATAAATAAAAACAACACTGAAAACCAATCAAACTCAGGTTAACTGCAATGATTAATCTTGGTCACAGAAAATAAATGAAGCAGCATACTTCTCCCTACTCAAGTGGAAATGTTGCTGTCAGACATTGTTATGGAATGGGGAGGGGTACAATTAAGAAGTTATTGGAAAGTGATCCTTATTTTTAAAAGGGGGATAAACAAAACTTTGAAAAGATTCCATCTTGAAAAGGGACTTTTATTAGTATTAAGTGCATAATGGTAAGAAGATACTAATATCTGGAAGTTTACTATTTTGGAATTAGCATCAGTAACACAGATGTAGGCATTAAGTTTTATTACACAAGCCAATGAGCAACTAACTGATTTACAAAGAGCAATAAAGAAGGGGTTATATGAAAGAAGGCCAATAGGTCTATTTAGCCAAGTCTCCCTTACAGGTATGATACAGTGGCAAAAAACACTAAACTTGGAGTCAGGATAGATTTGGGTTGGAATCCCATTTTTGATGCTTACTTTCTGTGTGACCATGAATTTCCTCATCTATAAAATGGATATAATAAACGAATACCTATTTGATAGGCTTGCTGTATAGAACAAATGAGCTGATTTATATTTTGTAAACCTTAAAATGTTACTATTGTGATTTTTTAAAAGTTCACCACCTGGAAAATGTCAGGCACAAAAAAAGATGATATAGCACAGTAGTAAAATGGAACATACTTGCTTTTCATGATGACATCAAATCCACCAGTATAGATACTTTTGACAGATACTAAAAATGGATAAGGTGGATCCAAAATTAACTAAGGAATGGCTCAAATTATACTACTTTGGAAACAAAGACCCATATATGGCTGTCAGTTGTCAAACATTAAGGTCTTGGGAAAAAATAAATGTCACATAATCGCAATGGAGAGGCGTATGGTGGTTATGAAAATCCTGTACTATATTACAAGAAAATCAGAGAATAGAATTAAGAATATTATCAGAGAAATGTAAATCTAAAAAAGATGATGAGGCAGAGACAGATATAGACATTCTGAGCACTCCAACTATACCTTTGTGATCTTTAAAAAAAAAATCAAGGGAGAGCTCCATAATGCTGATTGGCACCCTCACTCCTATCAAGTTATGGGAAAAGATGGACAAGAGTTACACGGAATGGTGCTGGATTGCAACAAATGTAGAGAACGTGAAAAGTGATGAGCTCACATATTTTCTTGATTTGAAGCCAGATTTACAGGGTTTACTGGATTAATCATGGCTTCTTAACCCAGGAATTAGAAAACTTTTTTCTTCAGTATTTACTGAGGGATACTGAATCACAGAACACAAATCAACATTTCAAAACCATATATAGAGGGTGGAGAGGGAGAAGAATGATGGGGAGAATGGGGAAAAATAAACAGTAAAAATAAGTTAATAGTGCTCAATTAAACACACTTTTTTAAAGAAGATAAATTTGTGAAGATGTTTTCATCCCTGGCTTAATCTAGTCAATAATCAAAAAGGCCTCTGATTCAGTCATAAATCATCCCTCCACTAATGTGGATAGCAGTCTTCCCAGACCTCAATAGGATGGTCTTCATGTGGTACAGTGTTTCTACCCCAATCACCAGGTCACCAGCCTTTGATAAGCTTTTATGTACTTATCTCAGATAAATCTCAGCAACAACCCATTGCTACTAGGCCCATATATTTTTTTTTTCAGCTGAGAATGACCAAGCTAGCCTTTGTGTTTCATGGGTATAAAGTTTTGAGAATCCAGGGTCTCCTCCACACCATTAAGAAACACCACAGGACCATAGAGCTTTGGACCTAGAAGAGACCTTCAAGGCTATCAAGTCTAACCCCTTCATTTTCCAGATGAGGAGACTGAGGTACAGAAAGTTTAAATGACTTGCCAAAGGGTCACACAGCTAAGGGTTTGAGGTGAGATGTGAACCTAGGTCTTTCTGGCTCCAAGTCTAGCCTCTTCTCCACAATACAAAGCTGCCTGGGAGCCGGACTTTACTGGAAGATTTGTGAAGAATTTTAAGGAGGTAGTATGATATAAATGGACAGTGTTGAAATCAAGATAACCTGGGCTCCTGTTTCATAGCAACTATTGACATGCCACTTAATTGCTCTGAATCTCACTTTTCTGATCTGCAAAAAAGGTAATAACAGCTATCACACTTACCTAAAGGTTGGTTGTAAGGCTTAAGGACCGTGTAGAATGTTTTGCAAACATTAAAGCTTGATATAACTATAATTTGTTAATACCTATAAACTTATACTTGTGACTTGGTTGGAGTTTTAAGGACAATCATTTTTGTAGGAATTTTGATGATGGGAAGGGTAGGGCAATGAAAGTATCTCTAAACACAACGCAAAGTTTTATTTTATTTATTATAAATTGTCGCAGTGGATGTGAATTGGGAAACACTAGGGAGACTATGGCCCTTCATTTCAGTTTCTGTCACCTTACTACCCTTTTCTGATTAATCAACAAGCATTTATTAAAAGACTGCTATGTACCAAGCACTGTGACAGGCACTAAGGAGGATACAAACACACACACACACACACACACACACACACACACACACACAACACACACACACAGAGTAAAAACAAATAAATATAGGTAGTTAGGGAGGGAAGGCACTAGCAGTTGCGGGAGGGTATGTGAGAAAAGGCTTCATGTATACAATGATGACTATTTGGGCTCCTAACCAGATGTTTTTTTCCTAGTAGACAATACTTCATGAACTTGAAGCAGAAAAAAAATTAACATGTCAGCACGTTTGGATAGCTGAAAGTTTAAAAATTCTAATTTTACCTGTGTACGAAGATTTAAAATGCATATCTTGCCTGAGTTGATTACTTGTCTCACAGAATCTATGCTGGTACCATACAAATTTTTCTCAAATTCACCATGTTCGATAAACTTTCCAGTAGCTACATCTGCCTCAAAAGCTTGTCGTGAAATGAAGTGGTAATCTCTGCCAGCTACTTCATTGTCTCGTCTACTCCGAGTTGTATCTAAGTAATAAAATCGATATTACTAATATTAATATTTTTTTAACATACACAGAAGTTTTTAAAAAAAGTCAATTTGTAAACCCAAGTCTTACCATATAAATTTTTAATACTTTTAGACTAATGAATAAGGCTAAACAGGTAACATAATTCTTATTTTCATTCTCTTAATATAAAATTCATTTTATACATAAAACTGAGTCACTTTATACTTCTAATAATATCTCCCTCCAAAACAGTCATTTTCCTTCTGTAAGGTCCATTTCCCTGAGTTTATCTACTGTATAATTTGCCCTGGATGCTTATATGGACAGCAATCATATTGTAACCTATGCTTTGAACAGTACCTATTGACCCAATCTTAAGGACAAAAAAAGCAGCTTTTTAACATGGAACATAACAGTTATCAACACTTTTTAAAGATTTAAAATGGGAAATGCAGCTTATACATTAAGGAGGAAATTTAGGGACACAGAAAATGGAAATTTAGTTACTAGAATACAAGTAGCACTGTGCTTAGGAAAAAGCACATTCCATTCACTCTTGGAGCAACATTTTCCAAGTAACTTGGGTTATAGTTAAGGCTACCCCTGAAACAACTTTAAAAAGAGATTAAGTATAAGTATTTCCATTCTTGGTGAAAGCACTAAAGAGATCATGGGGCAAAATTATAAAACAAAGGAAAATGTGAAACTTACGGGGAACTGCAGCTGCAAACCTATCTGCTTCATTATTCATAAGCCTCTGACGAAGTTCATTCTGGCCACAGTTCTGTGGGCCAATTAAGATGATAGGCCTTTTCCTATTTGCCGGCTGGTGATAGAGTGACATTTCCTCATAAGTTAGTATCTCCTCATTGTCATAATCTTTGGAAAAATAAAGATAATACATATCACATCTATAAATATGCAAAAACTCCAAAAAAAGCACACTTTCTTATTATATTATTACTGTCAATAAATTCTCTGTGTGTGTGTATGTATAAACCTTACGATATGGCTTATCTTCCACAAGTTCAAAGAATTTAGAACTGAGAGGAACTTTTAAGATCATCTATTACAACCCCTTCACATTGTAAAGATGCAGAAACTGAGGCCCAATAGTCTGCCCAGGGTAACACAGGCAGCCAAGAGTGGAACTGAGTTTAAAATCAACTGACTCTAAATCCTCTATGTTGCCACTATACTGTGGTTGCCTCCATTAAAGAAGTTTAAAGAACTTTCATCTATATTGTATCATAAGGATTATAGAAAACAAGGAGAAATACATCAGTCCCACTGGTATTGTATAGCACTATTCTGATTTTTCTATGAACTTTTCCAATTTCCTCTGCTTCTTTCATTCTCAAGAGGCTCCAAAGATATGCATCTAAATATGTACTATCTTTTATGTAACCACATACATAGATCCTCATGCACTATCTTTGGGGTCAGAGGACCTTGATGTCAAATCCCACCTCTGCCGCTTACAGTAAGTCACTTAACTTCCACAGTCTTTAACTTCCTCATCTGTAAAATGAGGGGGTTGGACTAAAGAGTGTCTAAAGGCCCTTCCATCTCTAAACACATGATCCACAATCCATGACTGATGGAGTTAACATTTAGGGGGTTAGGGGCAGCAGAGGGGCAAAAGGCCCAAACATAATCATGTTTGACATTTAAGGAGCACTTAGTTTTGCCAAGTGTTTTGCATACATCTAAAGAGAACCTTATGAGGTACAAAACTACCAAGTATCGAAGGTGAAATATGAACCAAAGTATTCCTGATTACAAATCGATATCTCTATCCACTATAACAGGCCACATAATCTTTTTATTCATACAGGACAGACTAAGAAGAATTAAATAAAAGAAGAAATCAGTCAGTATGGATGGAGAACAAGGAGAATCATTAATGAAAGGATTTCCTTCTAACGAAAACTGAGACTAGGAAGAAAGTCCTTTTTTTTTTTGCTGGCAAAGAGAGGATGAGCTTACATTAGACCAAGAAAAGGAGATGCAGATTTCTTGGGGAGCTAGACAAAAGTAATCTTAGAATGAAGAACAGCATAGACAACTCGAGTATTAGATGTAGGTAACCATGCTGAAGAGGAAAAAAAACCCGTCTCCTAAAAGCTGGCTACAGCTTATAACTCTCCTTATAACTTTGTAAATGGATCATAGCTGCATTATCCCTACTAACAGTTTTCCACTAGAGTCTAGATTGGTGATGTCAAACAAATAGAAATGGACCCCACATACTGAATTAGAAAACCACACAAATTAACACTGTTTAGCACCCCTGATGTACATGATCATTAAGGTTCCTTCCAGTTCTTAGCTTCTAAGAATCTACTATGACTAATCAAAGAGTGCAATTGCTGATGACAACATAAGGAGACAAACTGAGTAGATGGGTAGAACTCCAAAGACTACTGCAAAGACTATGTTCCAAACTACAGGCCCAGGCTTCAGGAGAGAGCAGCAAAGGCAGAGCCAATGAGTAGCTTCTTGTTGTTGCTGTTCAACCTATCAACAAAAACTCAAAAATCATCAAAAGTACTTTCTTAGAAAAACAGCAAAAGTGGTCTGCCCACATGTCCCACCTACAAAATAGTAAGCCTAACAATGCCTTCCCTTCTAAAGAAAGTGTCTTAGCCACAGTCTGTCAATTAGAGTTGGATTTTTAGATTTATAAGGAGATCTTCATCTATGTTATAAGATAATCAAATCTTATCAGATTCAATTTTGCATATCAACTATCTATATTGTTGTCCTTCAAACTTATCAGATATTTCTAATAAAATGTTTCAGTTTCTTATGACAACATGCCATTGCTGCTGTTACTGTTATTCTTTTTTTATTTTTTAATTTTTATTTTTAGGCAATCGGGGTTAAGTGACTTGCTCAGGGTCACACAGCTAGTAAGTGTCCGGTGTTTGGTCTGAGGCCGCATTTGAACTCAGGTCCTCCTGACTTCAGGGCTGGTGCTCTATCCACTGCACCACCTAGCTGCCCTGTTGTTACTGTTATTAAAGCTACAGATTGCTTTGTTTCTGCAATTAACTCTGGACCTGAGACTTAATCGGTATAAAGGCACTCATAGAGAAAACTTCTAGTAATGTAAATTAGCAACTGTTCTACAAATTTGGAATCTTAGTTGTCTGAGGCACCAACATATATAAGGGATTTAAATGAAGGAATCTGTAGCTCACAGGCTAGCTCTCTACTATGTCGCACTAGCCTGTTATTTTAATATTTATCGTAGAAAGAATCCCAGGCCCCTTTCAGACAAGAAATCTCAAGCTACAGTACAGCGTAAAGACTTACCATCATTTTTATTAGCATTATACAAAACTTTTTTTCTTTTCTTCTTGTTCTTCTTAGCACACCACAGTTTTCCTGTTAAAGAACAAAGAATATCACAAACAGGAAAAGGCTATTGATTCCAACTTAAGAGTTCAATTGAGACGATTTTAATTTCAAGTTTTTATATTTACTGCATTGTTTTATTCTACAGAAAAACAATTTCCAGAAGTTTTAAGTGTTCTTTTATACTTGACTTTACACATCCCAAAGACTGATAATTTAATATTCAAATATGGTGAGAATGAATTATCTTCTCTAATAAAGGTTTTAACAGTATCCTGCAGCTTCCGAAAAGACAGCTTAGAGTTTTATCTCCTATATTTTTGTTCTTATGTTGATAACACACTGCTAATCCTTTTCTTTTCATGAGATAACTTTTCTTGAAAATATTGACAATACAAATGCAAATACAGCCACATATTAAGAAATATCACTTCATGGAACTTAACCATAGAATCCTCTCTTCCACAGATGTCAAATTTAAGTACTCTACCTGATTTTTCTGGTTCCTTATCTTCTTCTATGGTTTGTTTCATGGCCTCTCTTTGTTGCTGAAAGCTTTTCCCTTAATTCCAAAAAGGGGGGAGAGAATAAAACAAAATAGTTACAATGAAATAATGGAGAGTCAAATAACTTTTTCAAACTACATCCTATTTAAAGAAAAAACCCTCTGCTATCATAAGTATCAATTATTTTATCTTTTCTATTCTATCTCAGTTTGAAGTATATACATTTCATGCTTTATTTTTAACTGAGTGATAGGTAATAATGTTGAAATACATGTTTCATATTGGCAATTATTCCAGTGGAAAAATAGCTTTCCAATATGAAAAGAGTTTAACTTTTTTGATTGTGTCAGAAAAAACCAAACTACAATTCCTAATTTCTCTCAAGTTAAATATATAAATTCCTGAGTTTGAATTTTCAAAATGGTATGTGGGCATTTATCTGAATGAATATTATTCAACTCCTACATGCCATTTTAAAAAATATACACATGCACATATATACATTAAATTTATGTCCTATGCAGGATTTGAATGAAGGCTGAACCAATAACCGTTATTCAAAGTATCTGACCCATTACTGAAAGTTAAATTTACATTATTAGAATATTCAAAAAAACTTATTATTGAAATAATTTACCCACTTCCATTTTTCTCCTTTCAGCCATTTACACAGCTAATCAACTCAGTAACTTTTGAATTCTTGTTTAATATAGTAAAACAACCAAAACATATGCCACCTGAGTTCTGAGTCACTTATATTTGTCATATTTCATAAGAATGCAAGGACAAATAAAACTGTAATAATATCAGTTAGGTCTTATTATAAAATCCAAGGTGGAATACTAGAGCGTAATTAAATCTTATTAAAATAAGACTACAAGCTGCTTTCTTGAAGAAAGTAAGGAATAACAAATTATACAATTTGAAAAGGTAAAAAACAGAAGAAACCATAACCACAGTTTGGCACAATTGAGTTATTCTTAATCAAGGGAAAACACACACACAATTAGATTTGTAATCAATTTTTACCATCAGGATTTTACTGTATTTTTGAAAGTTGCAAGTTTTTTCTAACATTGATTTTTAAGGTAGAATGGGCATATATGCTAGTATAAAACATGAAAAGCAATGTGCTATTAAATAAAGGAATGTACAGAAGAACCTTTCAATATTTTGTCTATCTCCATGATAACTGCCCTAAGCAAATAGAAAGCTTCTGAGTTTTAACAGATAAACAACTGAAACTAAAGTAACTTAAAAGCTAATGAAAGGTTAAGTCTTGATGGAAAAACGCTTTGAGATGACAAAATCAATTTATTAATCAACTCAAATTGCTCTATTAATCAAATCTAATCTATTAATTAACAGCTTTCCCTTGGCTAGAGAGACCCTAAGGCAGGCTATTTTAATAGTCCAGAAAAGACACAACATTCCTCTTGAAGGCTTGAAGAATAGGGAAGACTGTGAGAGGAGAGGAGAGAAGGACAAATATGAGAAATGTTACAGATCAACATCGCTAGAATTAGCATCTGATACACATATAGTGAGGAAGAGTAGAACAAAGGAAAACATGTAGGCTGCAAAAAAGACTCGAAGGACAGTGGGATTCTTCTGACCATAAAAGAGGTTTGGAAGAAGGGTGATTTTGGAGATCATGAATACTGTTTTAGATATCTTGTGTTTTAGGTTTCCACAGGATATGCAGTTCAAAATGTCTCACAGAGAGAAGGTGCTGCAGGACTGGAGCAAGATCATCTGCAGAGAGATATTAACTGAATCCATGGGAAACGATGAGGTCACTGAGAGCAGATGGAGAGAAAAGGGCCCAGAATAGAGCCTTGAGGAACACTGATAGTTGGGGACTTGATATAAAGTATCCAGGAAGATAGGCTGGTCAATACTGCTAAATGCTAAAGAGAGATCAAGAAGGAAAACAACAGAGAACAGGCCATTAGATTTGCAAATTATGGGCACACTCATAACTTTGAAGTAAGCAGTTTCAGTTGAACGTTAAGATCAGAAACCAAGACTGAACAAGTGAATGAGAGAGGAGAGAAAATGGTGGCAAAGAAAGTAGACAGCTTTTTCCTAGGAGTCTGGTTGGGAATATAGGGTAAAGAGAGGTCAGTAGCTTTCAGGGACAGCAGCATCTTTTGAGGGTTTTTTCAGGACAGGGATGACTTACATGTCTCTAGAGACAGGTTATAGGAATGCAGCCACTAGCAAAAGAAAGATTTAAGATTAGGGAGAGAAAAGGGAAGATAGTGGGAGCAATTTCCTACAGAAAATTAGAGGATACAGGATGGATCAAGAGTCTATGCAGAAAGAGTTTTTGAGCGTCTTTGGCCTTAAATGTCACATGTTTATCAGAAATTGAAATAAAGGAGAAGAAAAAAAAGAAATAAAAGAGAAGTAAGTAGAGGACAATGTCAGGGGATTGTAGATGAGGAAAAGGAGGGAAGAGGGAACTCATGTAAAGACTGAGATAAGGTCCTCAGCTGAAAAGATGGGGGAATAGTACTATGGAAAGTTTAAGTGGAAGACAGAAGGTTTGGAACAGAAATGGTAGTGACTAGGAGAGAATAAACTAGGGAGGAATAAAAATACCTTGGGACAGGGCAGGTACAGAGGTACAGTTGAGATCTGGTAACATAAGTTTGTAGTGTACCCATTCAGCACAGTTGTGTGCCCTCTATCACTTCCATCCAGAAGCATGTGAGTAGGAAGGGAAGAAGCAGACAGAAGGAAAAGTCCAGGTTAGTGTTTTGGCTAGGTATAAACAATATTAAAAGGGATTCAAGAAGAGAGGCTAATATACAGTTGAAGAGATTGAAACTGGGAAGGAAAGAGGGTATAACCAGAAAAGGAGTAATTGCCTGGGATTGAATGAAATGACAAGAGACTAAGATCTAACAAAAATATTTCAGAGTTCTTGACCTTGGAAGGGAAATATCTGTGAACGATGGCAAAATCAAGGATAGGACCATTCCTGCAAATGTAGTTTGTTGTTGAAGAGGACCCATAACATCAGGAAGGTGATGCCACGACTTACAAGTGAGTTGGATTTAAGTGAGGGAGAACTGTGCAAAATCACCAGCCTCACTTTCTCCTCCAGAGCCATCTGAGCTCAGTGGCAAGATATAGATCAAGACAACCTGGAAGGACAAATACTGAAGCTGAAATGCTTTGTCCACATAATGAAAAGACAAGACTCAAAGGAAAAGGTCCTGATGGTAGGAAAGACAGAAGGCAAAGAAGAAGTGGATGGCAGAGGATGAAATGGAAGCAACAAACATGAGCCTGGACAGACTGAGGAAGACAGTGAAGGGCAGAAGGGCCTGATGTGCTACAGTCTAATTTTTATATACTTTTCCAGATTGCTCCCTTGCTCTAGCATGAGGTCGCCTGACCATTCATATCAATAAAATTTATTATATGCTAATTATATATGTTATTGTGAGATAAGAGGATTAGCAAGACATACTTCCTGCTCTCAAAGAATTTGGTAGGGGATATATGATATACACAACAAACTACAATGCAAAACAGGACATGTTAACTGCAAAGAGAAATACAAATTACTGTTAAGAGTTTGGAGAATGAGAGATTTTAAAACGTTTTGTCTGTATATCCATTCTTGAATCTTGTCTTTGCACACTTGAGATCACAGCAGAACTAGGCAGGATGCAACTAAAAAATGCTGAGGAAAAATCTGGAGAAAAGCCTCAGAGGGTGAAACTTATAGAAGCAATGTTGGTTAGAGAAGAAATAAATCTACCATCTCAAATACTATAACATTTTAATAATTTGTCTTCTTTCTCTTGCTCCTAATGCCTGGGGCTCTATGCCAACTCCTATTTTTCCTCAAGACCAGAAATAAAGAAATTTAGTCAACACACTTTATTCTCTAATTTTCTTATGGATTAAAAAAACACTACATCAAATGATGAGGTATTCTCAAATTCCATTCTTATAGAGTTATTAAGATGCTCTAGTCTGAGAAGCCAAAATCTCCACTTAAAATGGATATTCTCATGTCAAAGATGAAAATTCTATCATATTGGCCTATTTTTTTTTTTGTAAAAATGCCTTAGCTAAATTAATTAAAAATACTTCTTACTCTATTTTTAAAAATTACCTGACACAGGTTTGATCCATGCTCAGTGACGCATTTAAATAAAAAGGACATTCTACTTTGCAGGAATCATACAATGATTAAAGATTCTTTGATGGCATAATGATAAAGCTAAATAGAATAGAATATCACTCATAATTATGCCTCCTGAATAAAATGACTAAAATTATCACATTTTTCTGACATGCTCAAGAATAACATGCCACGTAAATGGGCATAGAAACATGCCTGCTTTTATAATATAGCAGTAGTATCAAGAGAGTAAACTAGAAATTTTAAGAATTCACTACATCTTACCTGGAACGAGTCCTGCCAGAGGCTGATTATCTTCGTCTCCTTCCCGGTAGGCCTGCCACCAGTTAGGATCTTCTTGACTGATGATATGAAGTATATCCCCTTTTTGAAAAGACAGGCCTAATTCTCGGCAAGGAACATAAGGGTCATCAGAAGGATCATAGTCAAAATGAGCTTTAACATGGATCTAGAAGAAAAAAAAAGGCAAAAACAATGGAACAGAAACTCTGGTTGTATACCAGTCATCTCTTGCTCTCACCATATGGCCAGACAATCTTCTCTAGTTCCTCACTCATTCTATGTTGTCCTCTACTCACAAATAACCTACAGTGAATGCTCACCTTTGGTTCTTCGATGAAAGTGTTATTCAAAGCCTTACTGCTATAAACACTGGTAAAGTGCCTGGATTGAAAAGATGGACCTCTGATGTTACAGGAAACTTGGGGTCAGTTCTGCAATTTCCTTAGAGCAATGCAGCCTTCTCTTCTCCTTTGATTTCCCAGTCATCTTTTTAGGAATTCATAAGATCTGAGATTTCCCCGCCAATAGTTCTGGTTTTTTCCCCTTTATTTCAGATAACTTACAAATTTAGTCTCTCAAGGCCTTAAAAAAATTCTATCACTTACAGCACTTATCTCCTCTATAAGTACTTGATTTAATCTAGCTACTTTTTTCATGTTTGTTCTCTGTAGTGACATTTCTACTTCTGTAAGCATTTTGGTAGTTTGATGGGGAAAAATGTGACATAATTTCAGCAAATCTTTTCTGTTTTTCATGTTTGTAATCTTCTTTCCTTTTTCTTTTTTAATCCTTGAATGGCCATGACATGACTTGCTTAGTTAGATATCTTGCCAGGTTTTCTTTAGATCAGTTTTAAACCTCTACTCTTTTCCTCTGCTTTATGAAATTATATCAAACTTTTAATCATTCATCACCCTTCTTTATAAAATTTTACAAATAAGTTTATCTTCTAACCTGATATTCACTCTGGAAGTCAGCTGTCTTCATTGTCAAATAAACCAAATGCCTGCTGACTAATGCACTTCTCTAGGTCATTTTGATATCCCTGATGTAGCAATTAATTTACACTGGCCTAACTTCTAGAAGAAATTGGTGCAGTTCCTGTCACACATTTACCATTTTGTTCAATTGTTTTAATTCGGGGTTAAATTTTCTTGTGTGCCATATTTTTCTCACTAATCCTTTCTAATTGTTTATGATACATTAAATGTGAATGCATAACTTGCAATCATTTTCATGGTCTTACTGAAAATACTTCTTATAGTATTGTAATGTACTAAATGTGCATTACTAGTATTGTAATATACTAGATGACCAAATATGTCTGAGAAAATAATTTTTCTTGTAACTTTTGAGGTTATGATAAAACCCATTCTGCCAATTCCTTTTTTCATTTCTCTATAAGAAGCTGCTTCCTATCAACCTTTCACAGAAGTTCCAAAATAATTTCACTAAGACAGGGACCTGAATATCACTCTCTGGCTTAAATTCCTTCAGTTGCTCCCTAATACTTCTAGCATAAAATAAACTCCTTAGTTGAATAAAGTCTATTACAATCAGGAACCAATCTACCATTCAGACTATTTTCACATTATTTCCTTCTAACAACATTTTAAATAATATTTCACATTATATTCAAGTCAAACTGATCCTTAAATTCAAAACAGCTAATCTGGGCTGAGGTGGACAGCCACGATGGTAAAAGAACTCAAAAACTTTGGAGATAAGGAATGTTTAAATTGAAGAGAAGGCTTGGGACAGGCAACAGAGCTGTCTTCATATATATGAAATTATGTCACATGGAAGAAGAATTAAGGCTCCAAAGAGCAAATGGGGGAAAATTACAGGGAAACTATGTCCCTTAACAAGCTGCCTCATAAAGTAGTGGATTCCTCAACACAGGTGATGTTAAACAGAATGATGATACAGGGGAGATTCATGAATGAATACATAAATGTAAAAGCATACTCTTAATAAGTACAAGCCAATTGTTAAGTCCCTGGCTGACAGTATTTTGAAATTTTTTTAGTCATTTCCAGACTACAATGTTCACCCATATATAAGCAATATGTATCTTGAATCAAATATTCCCTGACCTCAAAGAGCTTATATATACAACATGTACAAATGAAATATAAAGTAACTACAATAACAATGGCTAATATATATAGTCCTTTAAGATTTGCAAAGCACTTTACATGTTAACTCAATTGATACTCACAATTGTATGTAACAGGTGCTATTATTAGTCTATTTTAAAGATGACAAAACTGAAGGACAGAGAGGTTAAGTGAGTTGCCCAGAGTCACAAACTACTTAGGGTCTGAGGTCTTCCCCAGGCCTACACTCTATCCATTGCACCACCTGCCTGCCACCAAGTATAAACAAGATTATTTCAAGAAGAATGTAAACCCTTACAACTTTAAATAATTTTAAAATTGTGGAAGTTGAGGGGCAGGTGAAGTAGAGTATAGAAGGCAGGAGAAATCAAGAAAGAAGAGGAGGTGGAATATGATGGCAGATTACCTGAAGGATAATTTCTTTCTAGTGAAATGAAAAGTAGAAAACTGTACCAGAAAGAAAGGAAAGGAAGGAAAGGAAGGAAGGGAGGGAGGAAGGAAGGAAGGAAGATAATTTTTCCTCTTCATTTCATGATATTAATACATTACAGTTTAAATAGGCTACTTGTTTGACATACGAAAGTGTACACCACAGTACACAGAAAGAAGAGAAGAGAAGAATGCTTGTTGAATTCTTGTGTTTCCCAGACCACAATTCTCCTTCTAAAAAAGTGGTGTCCCTTCAGGCTGACCTTTCCTATGCACCAGTCACCATGAAGTGTGATGAATATGTTTTACGCTCTCTAGGCTTCAGAAGGCAACACTAGTTAGTTTTCTTTCTTTTTGGGGGGTTGGGGTGGGGTGTGAGGCAATTGGGGTTAAGTGACTTGCCCAAGGTCACACAGCTAGTAAGTGTCAAGTGTCTGAGGCTGGATTTGAACTCAGGTCCTCATTCCATAGCCGGTGCTCTATCCACTACACCACCTAGCTGCCCCAAGTTTTCTTGTATGAGAGAGAGAGAGAGAGAGACAGAGAGAGAGAGACAGAGAGAAGAGAGAGAGAGAGAAGGCAAAAATCACAAGGTAAGTTTTCTAACAGCATGTTCCTACTTAAATCTCAAGATGTCAAATTAAAAAGAGGTTTTCTGGGAAATGTTCCACATTGGCACATTCTTTTCACAAAGTTTTAGCACAGTGTTTGGTCCACAGGAGGTGTGTACTAAATGCTTCCTGACTGACTTTGAGCCTACTGTTTTCTTGGTTACTTAAATTACAACATGACCTCCTTCTTTAGGGTTAGGATCCAAGTGAGCTAATAATACACTTCAACCAGCTGTGCTTGAGTGAAACATTAAAAGAGGAATTGTACTAACAAGGATTTTCATATTTTTTTTAAAAAGAGAGCTAGTGTTGGTTACTTTCTATGCTAAAATTACAACAAACTTTTAAGTGCTAGAAAAAGAAAAATACAGTTTGGATTTTTCTTTTTCTAAACCATTTCAATTCTACTTCAATGGTTTCCAGAACTAAACTGCTTAATAGGATTCTACACTTCTCCAGATGATTCTGGACCAGATACTTGTTTGGTCTTTGGATTAAACCAGTCTTATCTCCCCAACTCACAAAGGTCAGTGAGAGTCAAACATTCTATGAAAGACAAAAACAAGTTATTTTATCCACGAATAAGAGGCAGTCTCGATTCTGTTACAAGAGAAACTATCCCCCCCAATGTGATACACTTTGATCTTCACTGTAATTTTGTGAATGATATTGAGATGCAAAAACTATTTGGCTTTGAAAGCCCTTCATAACCTGGCCTCTTCCTACATTTCCAGTTTTCTTACACCTTACTTCATCTATGTACTCTGCAATTCAGTGAAACTGGGCTCTTTGCTGTTTGTCACACAAGACATTCCATTTTGCAACTACGGGAATTTTCAGTTCATGTTCCACGTGCCTGGAGTTCTCTGAATCCTCATCTCCACCTCCTAGATTCCTTCACAATGTCAGTTAAAGTCTCACCTCCTCCAAGAAACCTTTCTTAGTCCTCCTTAATGTTACAGCTAGTGCCTTCCCTCTGAGATTACATCCGATCTACCCATATATATCGTTTGTTCACTGCTTGCAGGTTATTCTCTCCCACTACAACATGAGGTCCTTTGAAAGTAGAGGTGCTTGAGGCGGCTAGGTGGTGCAGTTGTTAGAGCTCTGGCCTTGGACTCAGGAGGACCTGGGGTTCAAATCTGGCCTCAGACACTTGACACTTACCAGCTGTGTGACCCTGGGCAAGTCATTGCCCAGGCAACCCCGACTGCCTCACCAATAAGAAAAGAAAGAAAAAGAAAAGTAGGGGTGCTTTTATGCATTTGTATCCACAGCACTCAGCAAGTGCCTGGAACACAGAAAATTCCCATATGCTTGCTGAAGGAGCCAAGACAACTCCAAAGGACTCATGATGGAAAATGCTGTCCACATCCAGAAAAAGAATTATGGAGTCTGAATGCAGAACAAAGCAGACTATTTGCGCTCTCTGTCTCTCTGTTAGTTTTTGTTTCTTCTTTCTTATGGTTATCCCCTTTGGTTCTATTCTTCCTTACAATATGACTAATGTGAAAACAGGTTCAATATGAATGTATATGTAGAGCCTATATCAAACTGCAAGGCCGTTTTTGGGTGGAGGGAGGGGGAGGGATGGGGAGAAAATTTGGAACTCAAAATCTTATGGAAGTGAATGTTGAAAACTAAAAATAAATGAATATTTGTAAAAATGCCTGTTGAATTGAGATACTACAAAAAACACCAATTTTATCCATATCTAAGAGAGAAACTAATTTCCTTTTAGGAAATTTAATTCTATTTACTTATTCCCTAGAAAATTTTGGATTTTATATGATAATTACTGCAAATATAGCTAGATGGTACAGTGGATAAAACGATGGATACAGAATCAAAGACCTGGGCTCAAATCCATGTTTAGAAACTCACCTCAGTAAGTTATTTACATACTGCCTGCCTCAATTTCCTCATCTGAAAAATGGGGATAATAATAGCACCTACCTCTCAGGTCAGTTGTGAAGAGAAAAATGAGAGTTTCTGTAAAATGTGATGCAAAATTTCAAGTACTATATTAATGCTCACTATCATCATCATGTCTACAGACATCCTTACAAAAGAAGTCAATCATTTACCATAAAGAAGTAAATAAGAAAAGTGAAAAGCTATAACCCAGTCTATTCTTCTGCCTAACTCCTCAGCCAGTAGAATGGACCTTCAAGTCTGAATCTTGTACAAAGAAGAAAGATACTTGGGGGGGGGGGGAGTGAGGGTAACACATGGGCAGGCAGAGGCATAGGGCAATGTGAATCATGATCAAATAATTAAATGAAGATATTTCATTTTTATACATATCAAAATATTTTAAAAGAAATAAAAGTTTGCAGATATAAAGTCATGATGAAAAAGTTCTCAAAAAATATATAAGAACCATGGAATTGCCTGCACACAGAACAAAATTTGGCAGAAACCCAAAGAACAAAAAAAATTGTGCCTTGCTGAGTCTAACACCGCATGATTTAATCACAAAGCATAGGGACTATACTATATTTGTGATTTCACTGCCATTGGGAATTCCAGGCTGAGGAAACTCCTTTTCCTAATGCAGTATGAGTCAAAGGTGGGACCTGAACTCAAGTTTTCCTGGCTCCCAAGGCTATTCCAAAGAATACTTTCAAATACAGTATATCACCTATGAATCTGTTTCCATACAACAATTCAATACGCTGAAGTTTATCACTTTCCAGAACATTAATGGAGTTAACGGAGGCAGCTAGATGGCTCAGTGGATAGAGCTGAGCCTAGAGTCAGGAAGATCTGAATTCAAATCTAGCCTTAGACACTTACTTACCTGTATGAGCCTTGGCAAGTCACTTAGCCTCTGTTGCACCTTAATCAACCGGGGAAGAAAATGGCAAACTACTCTAGTATCTTTGCCAAGAAAACCCCATGGACAATACAGTTCACGGGGTTATGAAGAATTGGACAGGACTGAACAACAGAGCAATGAAATGGATGGTTTGAACATTAAGTACAACTGATGAAGAGCTGGAGACTTTATAAAAGCTGAATGTTTTGTTATGTATAAAGATGGTTAAGGTTTGTCATTAGTTTGCTGTTAAAAATAATAACTACTTGATGGGAAAAAAAATTCAATGATAATTAGTAACATCGGCAAAAATTTTTTCTTTCAAAATAGCTCTAACAGTAAATTAGAAAAAGCTTAGAGTATATTGTTTTTGAACATAGCTAATTAAATTTTGAGAAATAATTTTCAACTATATATATCATTATCCCTTTTGTTGAAACCCATACTTTTTAGTTTTTTTAAAATTTCATTTCTGAGTGAGAAATGCTTAGATACATTTCTCTAATATTACTAGGTAAACAATGGTAGGAGGAAAGGCAATTGAAGACTTAATAAACATACAGATCACTTACTACTGTTTCTTTGGCAGGAGGGGGCTTGTTCTGCTGGCTAGGAATCAGCACAAATGTGAGTGTGCCATGCATATCAGACTGTAAAGAAAAAAACAAAGTTTAGATATCAAAGCATACAAAATTTTCTTACAAAACCTATTCAATAAGCACACCATCAGCTAAAGGCTTATGCTGAGACCATGTTAGTTGTATACTATGCCAAGTTCTATACAGAGTTTGGCGCATTATCTTAAGTCAAATGTACACATGATTATAAATTTCAGAGGAACACGAGCCCACTGTCCCCTCCCCACAAACTACATAACAGTCTGAGGTTGAATTTAATGAAAGGCTGTTCTAAATCATTATCACTGTTCCTGTATGATAATGTGGTAGTATTCAGAGCTGGTGAAAATACTGTAATGAAATTAATGAGAAATAGCACTATTATTGTTTTCAGACACAAATGAGAAATAGGTAGGAGGAGAAGGGGTACTGACTCTTTAATTTCATTGGCGAAGAACTCCCAGGTGAGGAAACTCCTTATACCAGAGATGCAAGCCAGCAAATCTCTATAATTTAAAGAATTGAGAGCTTGAGTGACTTGCTTTAGGTTACAAAATCTGACATAATGTCGAGGTCACCCAGACTTCAAGCCAGGTCTTCCTGGCTTCAACCCTAACCCTAATATAGCCTTCTAAATAGTACACCTCACATACAATAGATTTTTAAAAAATATCCAGCTAAAACAAAGCAGTATTAGCAGGCTACCTGTCTCCAACAATAAAATCAATATGTACAATATAAAGTCTAGGAGCACTTAGTATTCTTCATAATGATATCAAAATTATTAATTTTATTTTGGATTCCCAACAAACACAAAGATAAGTGAATCCTTTATATCAGTGTGAATCATTTAAATAAGTCAACTTACCAGCAAGTCAAAAACCTCATTGACATCCTTTCCCCTAATTTCAATGCCATTAATCTCCAGAACTTCATCTCCTTCATGTAACAGTCCACTTTTTTCTGCAGCTCCTCCTTTTACTATCCGACTAATGATGACAGAATCCATTTCATTACGAACTGTAGCACCCTATATAATCCCAAAATATAACTTGTATGAATCCAGTAATGTTATATATATATATATACACACACACACACACACACACACACACACATCTTCAGTTTTAAATTCCTTTTTCATCTCTACAATTCTGTAATTCTATGAATCTGTTTACTCCAATAAAACAGGATAGTTCAAAAATTAGAAATCAGATTAGACAAAAGTTCACTTGAGAATATAAAAGAACTAAAACGAGTAACTATGAGAGTTGACAATATATTCTGTTTATGAAATTTATCAACATTTTCAAGAGAATTCTGATGTTAAACGGATTTTTTAAGTTTGGAAAAATGAAATATATGTAAAAGTAAGTGACGATCAAAAGAAAAGTTGTTTGGAACTGTTTTTATAATGTAAATTCTATTTTCACAGTTAAGTCTAGATTTTGGAAGAATTAATGAATTAAGTATGAGGAAATACAAAATCACTCCTGAATTATCAATATGTGTATAAGATGAACAATATATCTTTCAGTGGTTAAATACTTAAAAGATAAAGGCGCTGGCAGCTATTTATTACATCCAATGCTGGTTTAAAATTTAACTTTACTACATAAATTAATCATTCTAAATAAAACAAGCACAAAACAGGAAATTAAAATATTGTATGAAATATATAACTTCTACGTGCCATAGCTCTAACCAGAAAAAAGGATAATTATACAAAGCTAAAAATTGTGAAATTATTTCTCCCACCACAGGAATTTTCCATTTCAAAACAATGATATGTAATCTCTTCCAGTTTCATTTTTGTAGACAGAAAAAGAAAAGAGATGGAGTGAGGTTATCTCACTTTGTTGCAGACATCTGAGTCTGTCTCAAATAAATAAATGACAAAGAGAAGATAAGGCATTAGGGCATTCACAGAAACACAATAAAACAGAATCACAAAATGTTACATAGTACATTAAGAACATCTCTTCCAAAGAAAATTTCAAACAGAAATGACAAAAACATACTGTTTTACAGAAATACTTTAGCTAGGAAAGAAGCATAAAACTACCTATCCTTTTCCTTGTCCATCAATCACATTATCAAGCAATACCTGTCATATCACAGTTATATTTCTTACTTTATGAGTGTAAGATATACGTGTGTGTGTGTGTGTGCGCGCATGAGACACTTCGAAAAGACTATCATCAAAACATAGTGGAGGAAATACAAAAATGTACATAGTACAGTATTATGGTAATACACCTATAAAATTAGCTAGAAGAAAAAACTGCAAACCAAAGTCTCTACCAATCATCACAGGATCATAAATTTAGTGCAGAAGGGGACCTTAAAAGCCATCTAGTCCAATCCCCTTTTTTTTAGGGGAGGAAACAGTGACCTCAGAGGTGTCACACAGGTAGTAAGTGCTAGAGGCTGAATATGAATCTGGGATAATTTTTTTTAAAAAGTGCCTAATGAGGTCAGAACCGTAAAACTCAGACTACTACTTTTCCCATCCTTGAAATTAAAACTATATATGCAGTAGAACAGTAAAGGAATACTTACCAATGGAATATCTCGAGCTTTTTCAATACGAACTATTTTTACAGTCTCTCCTCCATACTGGCCAATGCTCTCATAAACTCTCTCATCTGTGATGGACTCTGGCTGCATTTCCTGCTCAGCAACCTTATCATGGGCCAATAAGAGTGCCTGTGGGGTTTTGAGAAAGATTTATTTATTTCTATGTAGCAGTTTTCTAACTTAATGCTACACATAATGCAGAAACTCCTAGGTCTCTTAAAAAAATCGTTACAGTGATTTGTTCTGGTCAACAGTTTCTGACTTTTTTCTCCAAATTTTTCTATATGCAGTGCTTTAGCTTAAATGCTCATATACCTGTGTTATATGTCATGAAGTGTTTCACCTGTGCAAACTATTGGTAAACTGAATTTTCATGTGTTGACCATATTTTCTTAAAGTTCAATTAAAAAGGTTTAACTCTAACCCTAAGAATAATAAAGAACTCACAAAAAACTGAAAATATAACCATAAGAAAAATAAAACTAAAGGAATTTTAAATTTCCTTTTTAAAAGGGAAAACCTTTGTTTAAGAATATCAATAGCCTCCCCCAGATCTGATTTCAGGTGGGACAAGACCTCCTTTCTTTCTTGTTAAACTTGTCAAATTTCACTTAAATGCTTGCAATCATATATCTGTGTTATATGTCATGAAGTGTTTCACCGGTGCGAAATCGTGTATGACATCACTGAGAAACTGTGTTATGTTGCCCCTGAAAAATAAATAGCATCTCGTTATATCTAGCTTTTGTCTGGAAAAAAGCTATGAGCTCCCTAATGGGTCAGGTTATCACCACTGGCAATGAGAAACAGTCTTTGAATATCACTGTCTAGGCATGGAATCCTGTGTAAAACTATACACACACACACACACACACACACACACACACACACACACACACACACACACATATATTTTTACCTTCCACTCAATCATGAAGTATAATATTATCACCTGTAATGATAACACAACAGGCCAACCTATGCCAGCACATGGAGATCCATCTCCGAATAGAAAATTACACTGCTATGGGGCAGTAGATAGAGCACTGGGCCATGGAGTCAGGAGGACCTGAGTTCAAATCTGGCCTCAGACACATGACACTTAGCTGTGTGACTCTGGGCAAGTCACTTAAACCCAATTACCTCACAAAAAAAAAAATGCAGTGCCCATCAGAGGAAGCTGTGAAGCCTGGTCATCAAAGAAATAGTCATCTCCAGAGGTGGAGTTTAACTCTGCCAAAATCACCGTGGAGTGCCTGACACAAGATGGACTGGTTTTCTAGTTCCATGACCAAAGACTCTGTACAAATGAGAATTTTTCTAGCATAGATGTCATTGAGCAATCACTCACCATCACTACAACCATGCCAGAAGACTGGGAAACACAGCACTCCTTCCTTGAAGCCCCATCCTAGTCCCCACTACCACCAATAAAAAGCACTGCTTAGGGGGGAAAGCAATACCATACTGCACAAGTATGCTTTGAGATATAGATGACAGGAGACACAGAGAGATTACAGTCCTAGACACCTGCACAGAGAAAATCAAGATAACTGCCCCACTTGAGCTTAAATCTGGACTGGAGGCTCCATCTTTCACAAAATGTGGATCAACAACATGGGTCCTCCACTATACATAGCAAATACTTCTAAACGGATTTTTGTTGTTGTTGTTGATTACTTGTTTTTTCCAAGGGTATGATATGATAATTGCCCCCAAATAAGATGAATTTGGCATGGCTGTTTTCTTTCTGGTGTGTGACTCAGGTTTTAAAAACTGAACTGGTGAAGGTGAGGAACAGTCTAAGTAGGCTGGAGGCAAATATCTCCAAAATTCTACAGTGTATCTTCAGGATTCTGATTGTATATTTGAATTTTAAAAAAAAAAGGTACTGCAGAAATTGCATGGAGTTACCTGTCTCTGCCTTGCTCTACAAAAAGAAATCGACTTTAAAATTAGTGGCAGAAGCTGGGAAGGTCATAATAGTATTACACATATGTAAATTACTTACTTTTTTTTTTAATTGTATCTTCTGCCTTAATATGTGGGACTTTTGTTTGGTTGGGGTTTTGGTTAGAACCATACCAGCACCTTCCCTTCTCTACCTGCTCACTCACTGCCTACCCCTCTTGCCAACATACATGTTTACAATCCACCTAAGGAATTCAATGAGATTGGTTGCAGCGTGTGGATGAGATAAGGAGCTCTGAATGTATAAGGGCTTAAGCAAAGTTCAAATAAAAGTGCATACATTACAGAAAAATTAATTGAGTGGTTTTCACTTCATAAATACATAAAGGCAAGGCATATGTTGTATAAAAGCTAAATGGTAATAAGATATGTTTGATTCACCAATAGAATATTTTTCTAGTTTCTACCTGAATATGAGGAGCATTTAGCAAAGCGTTTAACTCCTGTCCTTCCTTCTGATGGCTTGGTTTCAAAACTGCTTGTACCTACAAAAGAAAAAGAGAACCGTTCAATCTTTCTAGACTGCAGTACACACCTATCAAGCAATACTTAAAGAGGCTAGTGATAGAAGGTAGTAAATATAAAAAAGGTGAAATGCTATTACTGCTGCTGCTGCTGCTACAACAACAAAAACAAAAGATCCAGGAAAGACAGCAAGCAGAAACAAGGCTTATACTGAGGCTTCAATCTCATCACTGTGGCAAAAACTAAGCTAGTTTAACAGCAACATTCCTCACAAAATACAATAGATCATAAGACATATTCCTGAATGAAATCCTCCTCGTGTAAGCTCTCATTACTAAGATGATTGAATATGGATTGGTTATCATTTTTTACATCTGTAAAATCATGGGATGGAGATGGCTCAATTGCAAAAAGCTTTTTAGTTCTAAAATCTTATGATTCTAAAATATGCCACCTAAGTAGTATGTAGAGAGCCAAGAGGGCTAGATTTGAGCTCAAACTTGATTCCAGCTCTTTTACATAACAGGAAGTTCTTTGTGCCTATTTCCTCATCTACAAAACAAGGGGGTTGGACCCCCCTCTCCATGTCCTCCTCAGGTCCCTTCCAACTCTAAAGCTATGACTCTACAGTGATCTTAGGATAGGCAGAGGTAAATATAGACACCAGACACTAGCATCTAGCAGCCAGAAGAACAGAACTTAAATGATCAGGAGTGAATTTGACAAAATTAATTTTTTTTTCCTTGTATTTTAAAGGCTGGGTCATTTTATCTGACTCAACCTTTAAAATACAAGAAAAAAATTAATTTTATCTCTACAGTACCTAATATTAGTATTAACAAGATTATTATAGACTTGTAAGGCAGGTTTTATAGATGATTAAACAAATGGCAATAAATTTTTTTATATAACATAGCATGGAAAATTTAACCTTTCAAAAAATAACCACATTCAACTTTCCATAATAGAAGCTTTTATTATTGTTAATATGTAATTGTTTTAATATTACACACCTGAAAATGCTGGTCCCAGAAGGAAAATAAGGCTATCAGAATGTCAACAAGGCATACAGAATACATACCTCCTGTGCAAGGTCTTGTGCATTGGAGATAAGAGGAAATGGAGGGCTGGCTTTATTCATATGCACTGTGACAGCATTGTGTATCTTAAATGCATTCTGGAAATCAGTGTTTTGTACAAGTTGTAAAAGCAGAGCAATGTCATCCTGGCTCTGGGAATCTACCAAAGTATGTTGAATATGCTTGAGTGAAGAGAACAGGTCTTCCACTTCTGGCAGGGGGGAAAAGTTATTCAATATTAATCATTTAACTTGTATTTGCAAAATATGTTCTTTCAAGGTATTCTACTTCAGCAGGCAGAATATTGGAATTAGTAATAGTATTCTAAAATTTTTTATTATTTGATAAGAGTAGCATTATCATCATTGGGAATACAAGGATTCTAGGAATGTAAATTTTCCAGATAACAGTTCCTTTCTTTTGAATTGCTTATATTGGTTACTTTTGATTCTTACATGAAGATTTAAACTAAAACTTCTATGCTTTTCTTGAACACAGTACACTGAACATATTTTCAAATCTTGATTATTCAGGGTCATAATTATAAATATTAAATACTGAACTGTGCATAGCACAGCTGATGCATTCAAATGTTACTGAGACATAATGAGGTGTTCAAGAGTTCGAAGAGGCACTAAGTGCCTCTGTATAAGTTTATTTTCATGGGATTATGTTACTGGATGGGGGGGGCGGCAAAAGGGAGAGGCAATTAGGGTTAAGTGATTTGCCTAGGGTCACACAGCTGGGTTTGAACTCAGGTCCTCCTGACTCTAAGACCAGTGCTATAACCATTGTGCCACCTAGTTGCTCCGATTATGTTAGTTTTTAAAGTTTTTCTTCCATCTAGACGCCAAAAAATGTCACTTGCTGCTGGAAATGTTACATAAAGATAAATTTCAGTTGAATAAAGACTATAGTTTTTATATCTAACACATCTCAGGTGCCTAGGCAATTAATGTACTTGATAAAGATTTCTACCTTCTCCTGAGTTTAGCTGAATAATGTCATTAAAGAGAACCTTGAGAAATGAGAAAGGGTAGTAACTGCCAGGGGAAAAGCTTGCTGATCTCCAGGTAAATCAGTTATCTCTCTATCAAAGGAACAGAGAGTTAGGGGCTTCTGTCAGATAATAAAGAAAAACTTTGGTGAGTAACTAGTTAGTTAAGTGACTTGTGAAGGTCAGAAGCAAAAAGAATGCAAGAGAATAATGTAAAAACAAGAGACTAATTTATACCTCTACAATATTGTACAGAAAAACAACTGTGAAAGACTTGAGAATTCAGATTACAGAAATAACCAATCATAACACTAGACAATAATCATGTTTTAAACCTCTTGGCAGAGAGATAAGAAGACTAGAATGGGGCCAATTTTCAGACATAATTAGTGTGCGGCTGGGAGTAGTGATAGTGATGCCAAAAGGAATGCTATTAAAAATGCATGAAGGTGTAGAAGGAAGTTCATAAAGGAACACAGAAGAACAAGAATGCATTGGAAATACACTAGCTAGGTGGCAAAGTGGATAGAGCACTAGACCTGGCATCAGAAGACTGATTTCAGCCACTTCCTAGATATGTGACCAGGAACAAATCATTTAACTTCAATTATTCAATTTTCATTAAATGTCTACTATGTGTCAGGAACTCTGCTAAGCCCTAGGGATACAAAAAGATGCAAAAGACAGTCCCTGCCCTCAAGCAACTTAAAATTTAAAGAGGTGAGATAACATTCAAACAAAAATATATAAAGCAAACTATATACAGGTAGGAAATAATTAATTGACAGAAAGCACTAGAATTTAGAGGTGCTTAGAAAGGTTTCTTGTACAAGATGAGGTTTTAACCGGAAGTTAAAGGAAGCCAGGGAAGCAGATGGGGAAGAAGAGGCAGAGAAAATGCCTACTTGGACTCAAGTCACACAATAGCCAGAGAGCCAGTGTATGTAGTGGGGACTAAAGTATAAGAAGACTGAAAAGGGGCTAGCCTAAGAAGGGTTTTGAAAGCCAAACAGAGCGTTCTGTATTTAATCTCTGAGGCAAAAGGGAGCCACTACATTTTACTGAGTAGGAGAATAACATGGTTGCACCTGTGCTTCAGAAAAAGCACTCTGATGAATGAATGGAGGATGGATTGTAACTTGAGGCAGGCAGATTTCACCAGCAGATGTTGCAAAAATAGTCCAGATATGAGGTGAAGAAGGTCTGCACAAGAGTGGTGATAAAGTCAGAGGACAGAAGAAGTCATACTTGAGAGATGTTATAGAGGTAAAATCGACAAGCCTTGGTAACAGCTTAAGAGATAGTGAGGAGTCATAGACAATGTCTGTGCTTTTAGTTTAAGGAACTAGGAGGATAGTGCTGCCCTCTACAGGTAATAGAGAAGGTAGAACAGGGCAAAGGGTTTTGGGGGAAAGACAATGAGTTTTATTTTGGAAATATCGAGCTTAAGACGTCTACCGGACATCTAATTTGAGATATCTGAAAAGTAGTTGGGAATGGAAGATAGGAGGTCAGCTGAGAGGTTGGGGCAAGAAAGGTAGATTTGAGAATCATCTGCATAGAAATGGTAATTAAATACATGGGAGTTGATGGGGATCATCAAGTAAAGTAGTGTTGACAGAGAAGAAAAGAAGGTCAAGGACAGAATCTGTAGGATACCTATGGTCAGAAGGTGTGATATGGAAGAGGATCTAGCAAACTGGTCAGATTAAGTAGAAGTAGAGCCAGGAGAAAGGCTTGCCCTAAAAACCTAGAGAGAAGAGAATATCAAGGAAGAGGGGATGATTAACAGTGTAAAAGGCTACAGAAAGGTCAAGGAGAATGTGGACTGAGAAAAGGCCATTGGATTTGGCAACTAAGAGATCATTACTAACTTTGGAGAAGGCAGTTTCTGTGGAAATGTCAGAAGGAAGATTATAAAGAGAAAAGAATGGGAGGAGAGAGGGCTGGAGACACCTATTGCAGATGGCCTTCTCAAGGAGTTTAGTCTCAATAGGCAGAAGAGATATGGGACAATAGACAGAAGGAGTGGAAGGATCAAGGGAGGGTTTCTTCAGTTATAGCCTTTAGGGAATGAGCCAGCAGACCCAGGGAGAGGTTGTAAATAAGTGACAGAATGGGGATCAGAAAAGGGGCTATCTGGAGATGGAATGGATTGGGACTGATTGAACAGTTAAGAGGGTTGGCTTTGGGAAGGAGTTACTTCATCATGTGAGAAGGGGGTAAGGGAGAAGCAGTGTCAGAAGGCATCTGATAGGAGAAAAAGGAGAGAAGAAGGGGCTCATAGTAAATGGTCTCTTTTTCCCCCTGTAAAATATGAGGCAAAGATCTCAAATGAGAAGGTGAGGGGACCTGGAGAAATCTGAAGAGAGATGAAAAGGTTTGGAAGAACTGTTGTGGGGAGTAGCTGTGGTGAGTTGATAAGGGAGGAATAGTACGACTGCATAGCAGCAGTGAGGGCCCAGTTAAGGTTGTGTAATATCAATCTGTACTAGACCTAGTCAGAATGGCTGTGTGATTTTTCTCCCCACATCAATAGAAGCAAAGATGGAGAATGGAGGGAGTGATCCAAGGTTGAGGTTTGGCAAGGGGTAATCTGCAATATGATTAAGGGGTGAATAAAGATGCAAGAGAGGAGAACATTATAGAGTTGTGATGGTTTACCAAGGGGTCAAGACGGGGAAAAGAGGAGAGACTGGCTAGAAAAGGGTAGATCACCTAGGGAGAATTGAGTGACACTGTGACTGCAGGTCACAGTGAAAGCAAAAAGCAGGGTTTTGTAAGGGAAGGCAGAGGCAAAGAAGGAAAGTCAATAGCTTATTTTCAGATAAGCTGATTTTGGAACTCTTGAATATGAACCTATTACATTTGTGGGAGGAGGTAAGGCAATGTATGACCATCTTTTTGTGTTGCTGAGGTGGGTTAAAGGAAGTAGTTCATGGGGAGTAAATGGGGTGAGGAACTGAGTAGTATGGGTATTTAACAGAGAGTCAATATATATGTTGGAATCTAGAATGACGGAAGGAGACTCAGGAAGAAACGAAAAACTGGGAGTCACATACTCAAGCCATGTACCCAACTCACTGAAGAAGGAAGAAGAGTGACCCATCAGATTATAGAAACAGTTTCCAGGATTCTGACTGAAATGCATGAATAAAAGGAAGACAAGCCTCAGTTTCAAATCTCCTGTAGCCTGTTTCCCTACATAAAACAGAGCTAATAATAGTACTTACCTCTCAAGGGTTGTTGTGGGGATCAAATGAAATACTATAAATACCATTACCAGTAATATCATTACTGTCACCATTATTGCTGTTGTTATTAATATCATGTTAAAATGAATGCACATATTTTAAAAATGAGGACATATAATAAATTGTTTCAAATGCAATTTGTTTTATTATTTTCTTTTTAGTTCATGTTTGTTGATGTTTGTCAAGTTTATAATTTAAAAAAGAATATTTTAAAAATTCATTTTATCTTTGTTGATGTTTGTCAAGTTTATAATTTAAAAAAGAATATTTTAAAAATTCATTTTATCTAATTTATAAGGATCTGCATATCTAACATCCAAGTAATGTGTCACAGAGTACATGCAGCTTAGCTAGGCTTAGGAAAAAGAAACCGGAAAATATTATTTCCTCTGAGGCAAGTGCTGTGCTTTTTTCTCAGTAAGTCTGAACAGTACACCAATTCAAATACCCTATGAGTTGGGAACTCAGTAGTTTGACAAACTTTAAAAGTCTGATTTAAATGGAAAAACAGACAATTGTGAGATCAATTCCATGGGCTGCATTCAAAAAATCAATTTAGTTGAGAAAGGTTCCAGAAAACCTTCTTAGGAGGAATAGATAGCTGCCCAAAATATTTTTATTCTTCCTGCTTAGATAAGTTTCCATTTAAAATGTAAAATGAGTAAGCAAAACAAATTACTAGATGCTTCAAAGAACTTACAGTGTTTATTATACATATGCAGCTTGATCAAGAAGATATACGGATCAATAATACACACAGAATGCCTGATGGAACAAATTCTGATAAAGTTAATCGCAGGATGAACACAGTACAAAGAACAATAAAAATAATGTCTTCATTATTACATTAAAGATGAGAAAAATCTCAGGAAATAAAGTCAAGGACAAGAAAATATGATTTTATCATTCACGTCAAAATATTACTGATTTCTGATCAAGAAAATGTGTCTATTATATCTT